ACATCTGGTGAAAATTTCATGTCATTAGCACCTCTAGTAATATATTTACTGAGAAAAATGGTGACATGTTCAATACTTATTTTACCCGCTGTAAATGTATATTAAATCTTGGTGAACCCGAAGATTGCCATGGTGCCCTCAGACGTGATAAAGTTTAAAGTTCCGGAAGGAACCTGATAAATCTAATTATTTATGTGGATTGAATGTGGTTTAAATTTATTTGAGACTTTTGTTTCACCTCCAGAAATAGTAAAAGTTCACAGAAGTTGTGAAATTATCCACCAGACTTGGTAGACATCGTAAAACTTTGAGCAGAACTTAAATTTATTATTTTTTTTAACGGTGTTCCTTCGACATTCTGCTCGGTATATTTTATTTCTCCAGACTTCTCTTCCTCTGTCCTTTCACAAAAAAAGAAAAAGCACTGCCGGATTGTTTATCTTCCATCAAGTGTCCTTCATATTTTTGGCAGTCAATTTAGGCGCAACAAGCTCTCAAGAGAAACGAGTCTTTTCCTTGGCAAGTTTTACAGATTCTGTTGGCATTGCTGCTCCGGTGAAGTGGCGCTTCGCTCGGATCTGATACTGGGGGAGGAAATCTGAACAGAAATCTTGACTTTTTTTTTCCAAGCTTTAATCCGTTTGTACTGAAGGGCAGTGAATGATATTACACTTCTTCAATGTCTTTTCCCCACAGGCGGCTGTTTGATGTCTGCAAAATAAAAACCAACAAATAGGTTCAAACATATGATGGGTGCCTTCACCGAACTGCTTAAATATTTCACTGAGATTTACATCAAAAACAGGTTTTTATTTTGGGCTTGAAATAACCCACTGAAGTGAAAGAAATGCTCACGAATCATTTTAATTTAATGTTTGACACTCAGCTGTTCACTGGTGACAGAAATAAATCATTCAAATCAAAACCCTGTTTGCTACATTAAACATTCCTGTGGTGAAAAAAGCTTTTATGTGAATGCTTCATTAACACTCAGACTAATTGCGTGTCGGATGAAGGCTAAAGGTTTTCACGCAGTTTTCACAGCCTGACGGCTCAGACAATCAGGCTCTTCATCAGCTGCAGTTTCATTAAAAGGCGAATAAATGCAACAAACTGATGTTTAACGCCGAAAACATAATCAGATTTTAGATGAAAGTTTGTGGATTCAATCAGTACAGTTCTTTCACCTTCAGTTCATACAACAGGTAAAATAAGTATTGAACACGTCACCATTTTTCTCCGTAAATATATTACTAGAGGTGCTAATGACATGAAATTTTCACCAGATGTTGGTAACAACCCAAGTGATCCATACATAC